CGTGTAAAGAGATAGAAGAAGTCTGAGAAACGTGAGAAAAAGAAAATAAGAAAAAAAGGTGTTGGTCGCGAAAGAAATAACATGAAGGAACCCATCATACCGTTTCTTCCGGACGGGAAATGTATGCCCACCGCCAAACGTTGGCCAATCGAATCTCACAGAGAATTTAACACCCCTCTACTATCGCGTGGACGGAAAGAGTAGAAATTTCCAATTTTATCGCATCTCCGGTGGTTCCCTATTTTAAATAAATATTATCGATATCCGGGATTGATTGAGTATGAAAATAAAAAAGAAAAAAGAAAAATAAAAGAAAGAAAGAAAGTCAAAAGCATCAAATATATTTGATAAGATTCAATAAACTTCTAAAGAAGTTTTCACATCAAAAAAAAAAAAAAAGAGAACCTTTATCGTTTATTTAATAATTATTTTCAAAAGAAACTATAATATATATTTGTTATGTGTATGTGTATAAGATGATAAAGATATCATCGAAAGATCGTTAACATTTTTACGAGGTTAGATTTCTTATATTCTTCGAATCGATACAGTCGTCGTTTCGTCGATCTCGTTAACGGTATTGGGAAGACGAACTTTTCGCTGACATCACTACACGAGGAAAGAAATAAAGAGTGTATAGGTGTAAGAGAAAAATAGAGAGAGAAAAAGAAAAATAAAAAGTAAAAAAAAAAGAAAAGAAAAGAAAAAGAATCCACCCGTGCAATGCGTTGCATCCGTGAGAACGACCTTATCGGAAAGACATAAACGTTCGAAATCCTAGCCGTAAATTAGGATCCACGGAATGCTGGACTATTCTCTATTTCTTTTTCTTTTTCTTTTCTTCCTTTCTTCTTTCTATATTTTTCACATTCCATCCTTTTTCCTCTAGCCCTGTTACTTCTCCTCAAATTCGCGGTCGACGACGTTAGTGGTCCAGAATACGATTTCTCCTCTCTTTCTCTCTCTCTCTCTCTCTCTCTCTCTTTTTATATTTATTTTCTTTCTTTCGAGAGAAGTCTGCAACATATATCGGTAAATCAGATATACGACGATATACCGTTAGATACTTTAGATGAGAAACTGATAGCTATTATCAAACGTAAAGATTCTCCAGCTGTCGACGACGACGAAGACGATACTACGATCGACGATTTAAAAATCGTTCATAAAGAAATGTTTTATTTTACGATGAGTTTACTATAAAAGAATATTATACTTCGATAATGTTAGACGAAAATTTTTATTGAAAAGTAATATACCTATTATGGATATAATGTGTCTATCAGATGTTTCATCTTAAACACTGGCAAAGTAACCACCGATATAGAAATAGGACTTATCTAGTTTTTCTTTTTTTATCGTGATCATTGAACTACTTTTTCTTATATAAAAGTCACCCAAAAAATGATTCTAATCAAGAATCAATACAATAAAAAAAATTTTATTACATACTTTAATAATATAACCTTTAATCAAAATTAATATTCATATCAGATGTTGCATTTAAAACACGAATGAAATAATTTTGAAATAGGACTGAAATAGGACAGTAAAATATTTAGCCTTGTTTAAAAAAATTAAGCCAAAAATGATATATTAACCCTTGTACAGAATATTAATACAGAACATTTCTATATATTTTTGTTAATAATCAGTAAAACGTACTCCCTTTATTATACATTTTTACAAAATTCATATCCAAAAAAAAAACTAACTTTAATCATAACAAGATATAAACCTAATACTTTGCTTCTGTATCTCTATTTTTATAGCCAGTGATCTACTATCCCATCCCAATGGAAACGTATCCCTACGAAGGAAGGAAGGAACTGTGTGTTTCAGCTATCACAAAGATATTACAGTTAAGAATTTTTATGATCAGTGAAAGAAAAGAACAAAGAAAGAGAGAGAGAAGAAAGAAAAAGGATGGAATGGCGACGGTGGTCCTTTTGCTTTTACCGGTACATCTACGCAATAGAAAAAAAGAAAGAAAGAGAGAGAGAGAAAGTTGGTTGGTTAGGGGTGAGAAGGGGTAAGAATAGCATTGGGAGTACAGTCTATGCCGTAACAAGGGTGGCACGATTTCAAGAATGCGGAGCACGTTCTCAACCAATGCCGGCAGCCAGGCAGTAAAACAAATACGCCCTTCCCTATATACGGGTGTCCCCGTAATACCACGCGTCTACGAGAATACCTCATACTCCATTCGAGTGTCGAGAAGCAGAGAGAGAGTCGACCTCGTTACCGATACCAACTGAGAGAAAACGCTTCTTAAGCGCGGTTAAACTTCTCCTTCTTCTTTGCGAAAAATAAGCTTTTACGATAAAAACAGAAAGAGAACCACAGAGAGAGAGAGAGAGAGAGAGAGAGAGAGAGAGAAAGGGACATGCGTTAACGGTGCAAGAAAGTGATATGGAAAAAGTACAAAAAAATAAATTTTCTTTTTTTTTTTTGCAAAAATCCAACTTACCATTTCTTCTACATGATCGATCTAATATTCGTTTTGATCCGTTTCAAAGTATGCGCATATATATGTATTACCTATGCAAGTACGTAATCCGCATGTACCTATGTGTATATTAGAAAAGTACTCAAGAAAGGAACGATAAAAGGTGAACACAATAACTCGCGTACGACGTAAAATGTCCTCTTTCAAACGAGACTTCCTCTTTAGAAATGCAACCGAGTGATGGACAGGTAAAAGAAGTGGCCAATGTGGGCTGGTCTCAGCGTATCACGTGACACACATGTCAACGGCCCTTTGTTTCGCATCCTTTTGATTGAACGTTCAGAGCACTTCTTTTTTTCTTTTCTCCCTCTTCTTTCTTTCTTTTTTTTTCTTTTCTTTCTTTCTTTAGTTCTAAAACCGAATTCTTTTCGTCGTATGTCATTATAATCGTTAAAAATGTCGTTTAGAGAGAAATATTTTCTTCATGTGTTTCTTATCAAATAAATTAAAGAACAATCAGAAAAAAAATAGAATTAGACTCCTGTGCAATTTGTCATTTAATTATATGTTTACGTTTTAACAAGTTTAATTGTTAGTTTTATAAAGCAAGGTGTAACCATTGAAAATAATTTCTATGAACTTTGATCTCCAAACATATCTACGATATTTGAATAGTTTACAAAAGAAATGAAAGGAGCTTTCACAAGAGTGGACCAGTTTTCACCTGATCTGGATCACGATCTATTTTCCGTCGTCAACAGATTCGTGACTATCTCTCTCTCTCTCTCTTTCTTTTACTTTCATGTAAAACCTGTTCGTTCGCGTGCCGAGGTCCTGGCCTGGGTCCCAGAATCCTGTTGAGAATTCTTCTATAGTAACGTGGGCCGTTTCAAAACTGGTCCATCAAAAAAAACGAAAAGGGGGATGCTGTGATGTCCACTGTCCGCCTTATTATACGCAAGCTTATGGGTCTTCAAATGAATCCAGTTAACCTTTGACACCTATGCATATCCTGCAGTCATCCTGACGTTCTTCCTGTGTAACTTCCTGCAACAGAAAACTGGTCCATCATCGAAAAGGGGATTCTATCTCCCTTATTTTTCACAGACCCACCGATGACCATTGTCCACTCGAGAGAAACTAACTTGGACCGCAAAATGTGCACCTAGTTACCCTTTGACTTTCAATTAAATAAAAAAAAGGTTGACCATTCTTCTTGGTTCTCAACCAGTTTTTAATTTTTTGGTTTCTCTTTAATCATCCTGCCCATGTATTTTTCCGTATTTATGATACATGTATATACAGTGAGTTGAATTAAATAAAATTCTTATACCAAATGAGAAATGTTATTTTATTATATTATTTATAAAATAAAATAGAAATAACGAATTCCCTTTTTTCTTTCTTTTTTTTATTATTATTATAATATTGAAAAAATAAATCGATGCTCCCTGTAAAGACAAAAATTTATTTGAAATAATCTTCTAGTGGAGTTTGATGAAACTAAGGTTTTCTAGTGTATCGGTAACATAGAAAACTAGAATGGTCTTAGAACAAAGTTCTACAGTTGATAATATAGAAATGCCGAAGGTAACTAAATGTTCAAATTATTTAAATCAACTACTTTATCAAATTTTATGATAAATGATATTTGACAAAACTAAACGTAATTGTTTACAACACAAAAACATTGCAAAACACGTATCTACTCGAGACCATTAACTCGACAATATGTAAATTTTTCAAAATTATATGAAAAATTTAATAACGAAAAATATATCGATTACAAGGTATCAACACTTGGAGATTATTACATCATTTGGAGATCCTCACGTTATTTCGAATTTATCTATGCGCTGCATTAAATGCAAAATATAATTTTCTATCTACAAAAAAAAGAAATAAAAATTAATAGTAATAACATAGTATATATATAATTGGTATTATATAAATTTAAGTTAAATAAAAACAAGAATTTTGTGTTAAAAAAAGTTAAAAAAAAAAGCACAAATATATACGGATAAAAATTATCCGAAAGAAAATAACTTTAAATGAAAATGCATTAATCCTTAAAACTATTAATATTTCTTGTTTTTGTTTCAAATTAAGTCGTCTTTAGCTAGATTTCATTTGCCATGGAATATATAAACTATAAAACACATGATAAACATTACATAAAAAATAATATCCATTGCCCAGGTCTAACTACGAGGAGGTAACCGCTTCTGAAGATCCAGCCTGCCACCTGGAGGTACCTACCCACTTTGATATTTTATTAAAAATATTCAATGATAAATATAAAGAAATAATTTAATAATCTATGAGAATCGTTATAATTAAAAGTATGTAATGTTGTTGTAAAAAAACTTAGTTTTTCGAAGATTTTACTTCTAACACGTGTGATCTGCACACATGTTGTTTTTATTTATTTTTTATTTATTACCTACTGAACACATTATAGGATTTCTCACTTGAATCGTCTTCGATAGTTACTATAGATGGTGTTAGTGTTATCGACATGAGCGCCTCTAGTAGCGGTTAAACATTTCTAGATCATTCGTGGTTGTTTATGTGTAGCATCGTGGTAGTTGATTTAGTAAAAGTATTTTATTATAACATTTAATTAAAATATAATGCGATTTTCGCAGTAGTTATTCGTTCGTATGAAATGACTGATAAATCTAAAACAATGAGCCACGTAAAACACATTCCAAAAGATGCCCAAGTTATTATGTCCATCATGAAAGATATGGGAATTACGGACTATGAACCGAAAGTTATTAATCAATTACTTGAATTCACATATCGTAAGTATTTAAGTATTTATTCTTAATTAATAATTATATTCATAATTGTATTCATTTGTAATGTTAGAAATATACAATTTCATTTTTCGAACGTAACGTGGTTTTAGGTTATGTTACCTGTATATTAGACGATAGCAGAGTATATGCTAATCATGCAAAAAAGAAGTTCATCGATTTAGATGATGTAAGATTGGCTGTTAAAATGCAATTAGAACGTTCTTTCACTAATCCACCACCGAGGGATGTATTGTTGGATGTAGCACGTGCCAAGAATACTGTACCATTACCATTCGTTAAGCCAAATAATGGTTTGAGATTGCCACCGGATAGGTTTTGCTTAAACGCAACTAATTATAAACTAAAGAATGCTACTAAGAAAACTGTTACAAAGCCACTTCACTCTTTGGTCGGCAATAATATATCTGGAGGACAATCAAGAATCAAAGTAGAAGGAAATAAGACTGGTCTTTCAATCGTTAAAAGACCGGGTACTTTGACCACCGTTGCCAGAACACAGTCTATTTCTATACCAAAGCCTGTATTAAAATTCTCAACCGGTAAGATAATTTTATAATTTTTTAATACGCATAGAATATGTTTAAGATTGTAATATGCAATTATACATTTTTCCTAGACCATTTTCATGTCCTTCAATCCCATTCAACTGTCCCGTCTTACCACATTTCATTGAGAGCACGATTATGTGAGATCAAATGTATTGTTTCTATATTAAACAAATTTTTCATTAAGATATATACCATTTTTATACGTACTCTTTTTAATTTACTTTTTATTTTTATAGCACCAACAGGGACAGCCACTGTGAAAGCACAGGTGGCGAAACCAAAAATACAAGTTTCATCTGGACAAACTTTGCCACCTATCAAAATGGAAACGGATGATATTTTGAAAAGAAAAAGGGAAGATGATGATTACGATGTTTCATAACAATACTTAGTTATCGATATAACATAAAATTTGTACTTTTTGCTTTACTCATATTTGTTATAGTAAAAAGTACATAAATTGTTGTATATATTTAAAATTAATTGTTTATATTTAATTTTATTAGAAAAGATAAGTATTAATTGTCTTATTTTCTTAACTAAATTAAAAAAAAAAACAATTAATTATAAGTAATATAACAAAAAATTAATTTAATTAATTAAATTTTAAAAATATTTTAAAGATTGCATAGCTTATCGTTAGACATTACTTTTTTTTAATTAGCTTATGTAATAACTTATCAATATTTTTCTTTTATAAATGAACCCAAAAAAAATACAATCTCATCAATAACTTCGTATCCCTAATGATAATACGTATGTAAAGTATTTAATATTAATTTTTTATAATAGCACAAAACATATAAAGCTTATCATGTTACAAATATTGTTATCGTTAATTTAATATCAAAATTTGTATCATATTAAAATAAAATAGTGCATAAGATAGAATTATAAAGTAAAAGCTTTAACAAGCTTTATTTTAAAATCTTAATTATTCAATAACATGTTATTGTAATTAGCCTTCATCTTCCATAATTATTTCATCCAAGATAAGATCTTCCTCATCTTCATGTTCCTCAGCAGCTGCCATAGCAACTTTCATTGCAATTTCTTCGTCTTCAAAGATATGCCTGTCATCAATTTCAAATTCATGTTCTACATCATATTCTTCAACCCCTTCTATTTCTTCTTCCATTGATATTTTAGTTTCAGGAACCTCACTTTCTTCTAAAGGTACTGAAACTTCCGATGGAACTTCGATATCATCTACTCTTTTCTCTTTAGTTTCTTCGCTAACAATTTCATCAGATAGACTCTTATATAATATTGGTGGTTCTTCCACCTCTGGTTTCTCATGTTTACTAATTTTTCTAACATCAACTTTTTCTCTAACACATTTCCTTTGATGTATTGGTAAAAATAATTTATATTCAGCTGGTAATTCTTCGTCATTATATAATCTATTTATAAAAATGAAAAGAAAAAATAGAACACTTTAATAATTATATTTTATCAAATTATGATATTAAATAACGACCTTGATGAAAAATAAATTCGTCGAATTCTACAATTGGCGTGCATCTGCATCCTCGTAGTTTCCACGTAATTAGTGCCGTACGCACGCCGTGTAAAATCTGCTAAATTAAATTGAATTTGATTCCAACCATTGGATAAACCGATTGGCATTGTAGTACAAAATGGACGAACTCTAGTGGTACTTTGAAAATTGCTTACACGAAATCTTCTATGCATATTTTTGTCATCGAGAATCTAAAAAAAGAAAGAAATAATTATTAATTTATAATTAATTATAATAACGAATGTAAATTATATTAACAATTAATTTATATTTATGCAACAATTATTACGATTAACACGTTCCGTGCCATGTGTATCACGTTTGATACACGTGAGATTTTCCATTCAGGCCGTATGTACCACTGGTGGTATACGCCGACATATTTATTTAATGTGTTAAAACATCAAATGGCCTAAATGAAAAATTAAACTGAAACGACTTGGCACAGAACGTAATTACAATAATAAATTTTCTTTTCTTAGATTCTCGAAATATATGTAAAAATTAATGAAAAAAATAATATTAAAAAATTAAATTAAACTTACGGTTATCTCAAAGGTGAAATATCGTTTCATATTTTTAATAATCATTATTAAAAATGGTAATGATATTCCAAGAACTTTTTTCTTATCTGCTGGACAATAAATATAGGTTGTTGCCACATTAGTTCCAGCTAATTCCAACACTAATGATTTTACCTCATCGTCAATGATTCTTCGTATATATCCATTCTTTACCTAACAGTATCTTACTTTAATAAGATTGTTCATTAATACGTAACGTAAATAAAGAAGATTTCTTTAACTATTTATATACGTACTTTATAACAAAATTAATATAGAAAAAAAAACGAATAAACTCACGTGCATGCCCCACAATTCTAAAGGAGCTGATCCACAGCTGTATAAAATTGTAAAAAATCCTTTTTGATAGGTATTACGAAACATTTTGAATATTTTTGATCTCTGAGGTGATTTTAAATCATCAATTGAGAACGTGTCAATGTCAACGATATTTCATACTTATCTCAAATTATATTAATTTTTCTTTGTTTATTAAAATAATCGAAGAAGCAATTTTTATAATTGAGTGAATATAACAACTTACGCATAGGAGTGAATAAAAATGAATTAAATATGACCGATTACGAGTAATGTGTTGGAGGAAAAAATGTCATTTAAAAAGCGTATTATATAAAAGAATAATTGTGAAGAAAAAAAGATGATGTAGGCGGCAACTTGTTTATCAAGGTAAAGAGTAAAGTACGCTTAATGATAAATATAATTGAATTTGAATAACGAGTAATCGATTGTTAGTTTATAAAGGTCATTTATTCTTGCAATCTGTACGTCTACCTGATTCATAGCAATAGACACGAAAGATAGATATTCGATAAATGTATATACACATATATCTATGTATATATATGCACACACGCACGCATGCTATTAATTATTTATTTATTAATAACGTAATATCTCGTCAATACGTCTTCGTTCCTTTTCAGTTGCAAAATCTGGCACGATCGTGATCCTCGGTGACATTCCAACGCTAAAAATTCGATCGATCCTTATGCTATCTAGGGCAAACATTTGTATCATCGCAAAATGCATGATCTCACGATTTAGTTGACGTGATATTTGTTTCTTGATCCTTTGCAAACGCTGACGGCAAATGACGTGACTTTGGTAAACAAAAAAATAAAAAGTAAAAAGATTAGAGATAAGAAAGAAAATTCAAATCAAATGTAATTAATTATTATTATTTATTTATTGTATTGTAAATTGTTGTACGTTATCTTTAGATTTATCAAGATTTATTTTTAATATTTCAAGTTAATATTTGAGATATTATTATTGATGAAAAATGATATAATTTTAATGTAAAAAAAAAGAATAATTATTAAATATTTATATTTTTGTAATTAAATATTAAATCTTACTAAGGTAGATTTTTGAGCTTTGTGTAACTGGGATGAATCGATACGTCGCTTCTATAGAGTTCAGGAAACAGCTTCATATGTCTTGAACGATATTTCCTAACACGTTGCTTGATCTCCTGTTCATAACGAGATTTTCTTAGATATTCTTCATCTGTGTAACTAAAAATAGTTTCACCACTTTTTCTAAGGAACAAATTGTTCCTCGTGCTAACTGTTTTATTCATTTTTATTTTTAAATTTATTTACTTTTACTTTTACTTTTTTACTCTTTTTCTCTCGAAGGAGGATTATTATCGGACAAAATTTCGATCTCTTTGTCGGAAAATTTTGAAAGGAGATAAAAAGAAAGGGAAAAAAAGGAAATATAAAAAATGGATGAAAAAAAAAAGATTTTGAAGTCGTTGAAATTATTCACAAATCACGGCGCGTGTCAAGCAAGACTGACGACTTCAATGAAAGTTGGCAGATCTGTTACGAAGTGAGCCCCTGTGCCTCGTACGAATATCGATTTGGTTTCTAGGAGAACCAATAGTGAGATTATTCGGTTTATTCTTATTTCTACTTAATCACGAGATATTACGTTACGTTGCGTTGACGACGATTAGAAAAATATTAGACGAATCGTAGGGAATGAACGAAAGAACGAACGATTAGAATCGAAGAAGTTACTCGATTTTACCATGACGAACATTTATTATTCCATTTACATTTGTAAAATTACATTACATTTTTTCTACGTTAAAATTATTTAAAATAAAATATATAAAATGAAGATTATACAAATTGTAATATAATGAAATGATTCGTGAAGAAAAATTCAAAGTTTACGTATTCGAAAAAATAATTTTACTGACTATGTTAGAAATATCTTAAATCGATTAGAATTGGATCTAGCATGAGAAAAATCCTTCCTTTTTACATATATAAAAAATTATTATTAAAATTGTATAAAATATAATATGAAAATAATGATAGTAAACTATAGTATAAAATTATGATTGAAGAAGAGAAATTCAAAATTGACGTTACAAGTTTAATAATGTTATAATTAATTTATGAATTATTTGATTTAAGCCAACATACTTATATAAACACACCTACATATACATGAACACACCTACGTGCAAATTCAAACTATGTGAAAACTATGACATAGTTTGTAAAAATAATTTAACGAGGGTAATAATATGAAATATAAATGATCGTCAAACAAAAACGACCATCAGTTAGAAAATTGAAGTGCACAGATGGAACGAATTTAATTAACGTACGCGTGGTGTACTTTATCGAAACTGTAGTTAAGCCTTTATCGCACAACGATTGTTTCAAGAGAATGGACTCGAGACACGAAAGCATTTCAACGAAGAAAGTGGAAGAGGAAATGTTTCGAGGATATTCAAAAGTCCTTTATTTAATGTCTTCATATATTGCCTTTAACTATAGGGTGTTCTATAAATCAAATTGACCAAGATGATGAATATCTCTTACATTCATTTTGTTAAACGATTTAATTTATGAAAGTTAAATCATACAGATAAATACAAAAGATATTATTTATAGAATTTTGTAATATTGTTAAATGTTTATTCTTTAAAATATGGAATTTTAAAAAATACCATAAAAATTGTATTCTTATAAAATTTAACAAATTAGCTTCATATTAATTAATAGAAAATTTATATCACATATGATGAATTATAAACAAAATAAAATGTTATTTAAATATTTAATTATAAGAAGAAATATAAATAATCTCTCAAGGCTGTTGTAAACCGTCTTGTTTCGAGTAATAATTATTTTTCACAACGATATAAAAAATATTTCATAATGTATATTTAGGTATTAAAAAGATATGGGATACATTTAATTCTACTACGCTTCGTAGAACTAAATTTCAACTTTTTTTCCGCATCCTTGGTGAGCTTTATCATACCACCCTGTATTTTAATTCCATCACATCCCCCGCGTATCTTTATTTATTTTTAATTTTTATTATGAAAGAGGAAACAAAATAAATCAATAAAAAAAAATCCAACTGTAACAAATGATATAATCATTTTCAATTTATCTAAGGAAGATTAAAACTTTCGATTATGCTCGGTGACGTGCTATTAAAAACTTGGAAATATGAATTGAAATTAACACATTATTCTATACGTAATTACTTGTTGAAGCCTATAATATTATATATAAGTACTTTGCAGAGAATTATTATATAAAATAAATCAACAAATAATATAATCGAATAATTATATACGACGCATACGAGGATATATACAAATTACATCGATTATTTTTTTATGTTATAAGAATATTATATTTAATGAAATTCATATTAATTAACTATATTATATTGATAATATTAAACTGATTGAAAAAAAATTCTATCACGTATAAACAAATGTAATAATTAAACATAAAGTTCTCCGAGGAAATATTTGAAATTTAAATTCTTGGAATATATGAAAATAACGCATGCGCAAATTTTAATGGTAGCCAATGAGAGAGAAGATCGAAGGGAAAACGAAGGGTAATTTGTTAAGATAATGATATAAAGATTAAGAGGAGGAAGAGGGGATGGAGAATGAGTAAGAGAGAAAGAGAAAGAGAGAAAGAGTAGCTCAGCAACCATGCTCGGATATATTGATATTTTCTGTCGCGCTCGCGCGAAATAGTAAGTGCGTGTTGATACTACGAAGAGAGGGTTGGTTCGTGAGTGAGGGAACAAGAGGGTTGTTCAGAAATGTAAGAGAAAGATAGAGACAGAGAGGTAGCGTCACGCCCGAGGGTTAAACGTGTGCATACACCAGTCTCGAAGCGTCCAGCTGATCGCGGTGACTTCGTCAACGTGATAACAAAGTGACGAACATGTTACTTGCATTTATAATCATTCGCGAGTGAAGAAAAGAAAATAATAAACATTAATAAGACAAACGAAAAATAAACCAAAAGAAAGAGAAATAACAATTAAACAATTTAATCATCAAATGAGACAATATTATCAAAATGACACGGTGATAATCGAAATTCGATTATTCGTTAATTTAACATAATATGCATTGCAATAATTTTATTATGAATTTTTTTGTTATCTAAAGCACATATTACACATACACAAAAACACAAACACAAACATGTATTATTATTAACGGGTATATATGAAGAGTTAAAGTTTTAGTGAAATTCTGTTATTCGTTCTCATCGGTGATCTCGTAAAAAGACTAACACATGTTATGTGAGCTTATTAGAATTGTTTTATTATCGAAATTTTTTTGAATTTTTTTTTCCTCTCTAACTCTCTCTCTTTCTCTCTTTATCCCCATCCCTATCGATATCTCTTACCCTCTGTCCGTTTATTTATCTGTATATCTATATAACCATATATATGTATACATATATATACATCTATATAACAATACATATGTAATCCGCCGCGACGCCGGATGTCGTTGGACGTCGCGACGTCGTCGTCGCCGTCGTCGTCGTCGTCGTCGTCGTCGTCGAGACAGCAGAGTACTCTCGACGCTGTCATTCTTAACGAATCGTATTATCATCTTTCATCGATTTCTATTACATCTTTCTTCCTTATTTATTTTAAAGACGATACTCAATACGATATTTATTGGCTGCTACGGAAAAACAACAGGCAGCTCAATAACTACGACAAATTCGTACAATGGCCAGCGAAAGGATATCGGGTCGATACAGGTTTGTCTTATGTTTTGTTTTTTTTTTATATTTTTTTTTATTTTACACATTTCCTCTTAACTTTTTTAAATTAATTTTTTGTTTTATTTTTTTCTTTCTTTTTTAATCGTTTTAACTTTTTTTCTTTTTATCAAAATGTTTTATTTTACGTTAACAATACAATAGAGTTTCAATAGCGATTCTAGAACGTGATCGAATCATAGATTTTCATTGAGAACTCGGTTATCGATCGTTAAACGAGAGTAGGAGTCAAATGAATAGCGTTACTCCGATTGTACTTTCTCTTCTGTCCTTGTTTTCATGATACATAATGTTTCCTTTTGAACAATTATTTCTTTATCTGAAGAAACATCTTTTTCTTTCTTATCTTTAATTTAAGAATTCATTTTAGATATCAAATAATAAAACGATGAAGTAAAAAGTAATATAAGAGAAATTAAATCAAATATTTCAAATAAATCATTTCAATTATTCATTCTAGAAAATATCTGAAGAAACTATCGATGTTATCCATTATTTAAAATGAAACTACCCTAATTTAAAATATTAGAATGAAGGAAAATCGAAGATCGATTGAATACAATTTTCAATAATTATAATTGGATTTTGAATTTTTATAAAATATCTTATCTTAGAAAGAACCATCGACGTTATCTATTCACGAAACGATTGTAATTTAGGATATAAATAAAATTTAAAAAATTTTTAAATGATCAAATAAGATTTTCAATAAAAATAAATGAGATTTTTAATTTGATAAAATATCTAAAGAAAAAGCTAATATCGACGTTATCCATTGATGAAAGTTAAAGGATCATAGCGCGGATGAACGACCTACTCGAATATCGTAGCGTAAAGTAGAAATACAACTAACGAGGTCACCGACACAAACTACAGCTGTCTTCTCTCTCTCTCTCTCTCTCTCGCTCTCTCTCTCTCTCTCTCTCTCTCTCTCTCTTTCACTCACTCTCTATCTCTTTCTTTCTTTTTCTCTTTTATATATGAATATAGTACAAGCTATATCTGACAATAAAGTAATCGTACTTGAATATGAATAACTGATCATTTTCTGATCAAATTCAAAGAACACTTTACAGAGAATATGTGTATATATATAGTATGATTGCTTTTACTTTGGCCTTTTCTCTTCTCAAGAGAAGAGGAAACTTCATTTATCGATTAGAAAGGCAAGCCTTTGGGCGATTACGTTGCCAAAATAACGTGTATAGGGGTAATCGATCGTATCAGATGTTTCAATGTATTCTTATATGAAACTTATGTATAATATTTACTTATACACACGTGTTTATGTTCGTGTAAATGTTTATGACGTGATATATGTTTTATTTTATCGACAGTATGGAACATATTAATTAAAATTAAGATTTATGATTTGTTTGATTGAAGAACATCATTACCAGTTCCTGGACACTCAGAGGTAAATCTCTGCTCAGTGTTGTCACTGGGCAAGGACCTTAGTAAAATCACAATGCCGGTTATATTCAACGAGCCACTTTCCTTCCTTCAACGAGTAGCAGAATACATGGAATATGCTAAATTGTTGAAACTGGCGTCAGCTGAACAGACACCTGTAGGCAGATTACAAGTTAGTTGAATATTTATTAGATTTTATCTAATAAGTACTAATGAATAAGACATATTTGGTTAATATTATACTACACGTTTATTTTATAGTACGTAGCTGCATTTGCCGTAAGCGCATTGGCCTCTAATTGGGAACGTCTTGGAAAACCATTTAATCCGTTGCTTGGTGAAACCTACGAATTAACTCGAGATGATTTTAGGTAAAATTTGATTTATACAATTATTTATTTAACTTGATTTATTGTCGTAAATTGTGCACTCCATTATTTCAAATCCTGAATTTTATATTCATTTTTTAAATTGTAATTTATTTAAAATGTTTATATTTATACGTGAAAGAAAATATTGTTAATATACGTTTTATATAGAAAATGGTGTGTTAGATTTACGATATTTATTAATAATCTCTATGACTCATTTTTGTATATTTGGGTATTTTTAGAATAGTATGTGAACAAGTTTCTCATCATCCACCAGTATCGGCGTTTCATGCTGACAGCGAAGATTTCGTTTTTCACGGTAGCATACACCCTAAATTAAAATTCTGGGGTAAATCGATAGAAGTACATCCAAAGGGTATCGTCACAGTCGAATTACCAAAGTAAGTTTTTTTTATATACGACATTATATAACATTTAACAGATTTCAATAATAAAAAAAGACTTTGATAAAATAATAATCGATTTTATTTATTTCTTATCGCGAATATTAGATGGAAGGAAGCATATACTTGGCAAAATGTTAATTGTATACTCCACAACGTATTGGTTGGCCAACTTTGGATGGAACAATTGGGATCACTTGAGATTAAGCAATGTGGAGGAGCAAACTTGAAAGCTTTGTTAACTTTCAAAAGTGGAAGTTGGAATGGCAAGGATTTACATCGTGTCGAGGGATTCATAACGAATCAAGAGTAAGATTTAATACTATAACTTTAATAACAATAACAAAAATAAAAATGAGGTTAATAAAAAGAAAATAATATTATTTTTAGCAAAAGAAAGTTGGTATATTTGTACGGGAAGTGGACGGAAAAATTGTATGCCTGTGATCCATCTTTGTACGAGGATGCACTTGAAAAATTAAAGAGGGATGCTAAAAGTCCTCAAGGTAGTCCAGGTCATAAAAAAGTTCTAGCTAAACTTCACAGCCTTAAAGTTGGAGCTTTCAAACCATCTCATCAGGTATGTGTGTATTAATTAAAAAATATATTATTATATTAAATATGAATATAATTGGAAGAAAAAAATTATTTTAATATATATTAGAAAGTAAATTAAATTAAATAATATTTTAAATAATTTAAATTAAATTTCTTTGTTTTTTTAATTAGGATGCAATCGAAGAATCATCTACAAGTATAGATGGTGAAGATACACCAATGATCGACGAAATACCAAATTCCACGACACTATGGGAAGCTTCACCGAGACCTCCGAATAGTTCTAATGTAAATATTTTTATTTTTTTTTATTATATGGTTACAAAAAATTAATAACTATTATTGTAATTTGTAGTACTTCCAATTTACTACATTCGCGATGTCCCTGAACGAGATAGAAGCAGGCATGAAGAAAGATTTATGTCCAACCGATTCGAGATTAAGACCTGACATTAGAAAATTAGAAAATGGGGATCAGGATGGTGCAGATTCTGAAAAAGCAAGGCTTGAGGAAAAACAACGTGATACTAGAAAAATGAGGAAACAAAAGAAAGGACAAGAATGGACACCCAAGTACATTAAAAAATTCTATTTTCTTCTAATAAAATGAATCATCGATAATTAATTTTATTATTATTTTTACAGATGGTTTAGATGGACAGTTAATCCTCACACAGGACAAGACGATTGGTTATATAAAGGCGGTTATTGGGAACGTAATTACACTGACATCGAAGATATATTTTAATGAATATTAGAAAAATGATATCGACGATAAATAAAAACTAGGCCATGTATCAAAAACCAAAACGTGTTGCATTGATGCGTTAGTTGTTGAGGAAAATTTTGTTGTTGTTTCTTTACTCAGAAAAAAACAAAATGATTGATCTTGATATTATCTGAGTGAAAAGATTCGTTGAAAATCATCAGCCAGATTAAAAAACAAAAAAAGCAAATATAAAACGGCTGGTACGTGTATGTACGTGTGATTAGATCATAATTCTAGACAAAGAAATAAAAAAAAAAACAAAAAATATTAGAATACGTTTAGGAGGTGTAAGCATGTCGTGAAAAAGATCAAATGTTTACTTGTGTTAGACAAAATTTCGTTTCTTTTTAGTCATCGTCATCTATCCTTCTATTTTTATTTTGAAAAATATTTGCTTATGGATGTATATAATAAAATAAAAAAAATATAAGAGAGTAGAAATTTTCACTTCGAAATTTTCAATGGTCAAGAGGAAAATAAAAACAAAACAAAAAAATTAAATAAATGAACTAAATTGCTATTATAAGATCTGTGTAAAATTAGAACGCGAGCTTACGCCTCGTAGAGTGAAACCAAAAGATATAAAATATAAAAGAGAGAGAGAGACAAATCGTATGCAGGTCATACGTATTCATATACATATATATATATATATATATATATATATATAT